AATCTTTATAAGTCACCATGAGAAATGTTGACAGGCAAGCAGGTGTCGTGAACAGTTTACACTTTAAATCATTGATGTTTATGAATTTAAAAACTTTCTAAATACTCAATCATGTTAGTATTACATTTACTGAAAAACAAATTGCATTTTCGAATAATAGTTAATTTAAGAATGAAAGTAAATGTTACCATAAATCAACATTTACTGGTTTATATTTTCGCTTGGCTAGTTTCCTACCGCCTTGAGTTCAAAAGAATTTAATTCGAAATTTAATACGAGCTTAGAATTAGGCACAAAGCTTCACAATGAGCTATCTGTGCTCTGCCCACCAAGGGTATCGAAACCCGGATTCTAGCGTTGTAAGTCCGCAGACATACCGCTGTGCCACTGGGGGGAGGGGGCGAGCCTAGAAAATACTTCCTTTTCTCTGCGTTTTATGAAGAGGTGGTTAATATATTGTTTGTTTGTTTTGTAGTTAAGCTACACAAAGGGCCATCTGTGCTCTGCCTACCACGGGTATCGAAAACCGATTTCTAGTGTTGTAACTCCACAGACATATTGCTGTACCACTAGGGAGCAGTTAATATAACGAATTTATTTTTATCTCCGCCACCGAAGGTGAAATTTTTACCCCTGTGTGTGTTTATTTGTAGGTCAGCAAGATTTTCCGAAAACGGCTAAAGATTTGGAGCAAGTTGGTATACATTTGGACTATGACCCAACTTAAAAGTGATTAGTTTTGGAAGGGTTAAGGTAAAAGATCATGGCTATATGGGCTCTACAATTCGTTGTTTAACTTTAATTATTAAACAGAATGCGAAAAATACTTCCTATTACCATTCAGATATTCTTAGACATGGTTAAAAATATCAAAACTAGTAAATCTCATCATCTATAATGTCAGAAGTATAAAGCTTCTAAGAGTAAAGAAGAAATTCCGTCTCTTTATTAACTTCACCTTAAAACTATTAACCATAATATTACTCTTTATTCACAGACCAATGCTGTCAATTTCCATAACCTCAGGATTAAATCTCCCAGTTTTGTTTGAAATTTTAAAGTACCCTAGTTTTTTCTATATAGTGCTAAAACTTAGAATATCTAATTTGTAAATACAGGATCAATAATGGATGTTTCTTTTAGATTATTTTTTATGATAATTTATAATTGGGATGAATTTGGAAAATCCCTCTTGATAATGACATACAAATTATATCTCAACGTAGGTTCGATTGAAACTTTACGTAACTGACTCAATCGTATATGACCAATCTTTTCAACATAGGAACAATGGCATGAGACAAATCGAATTTGAATAAGATATAAGCTCACTGTGTGTGTTATCCTTCTTCCTGTAATTAGATACGACCATACAGCTAAATAATCATAGTTATTTACACAAAACTCTTAGAAGAATCTAGCGAAATTAAAATTGACAAAGTAGAAACGAATATTAACACGTCCCCCTACCATTAAAGCAATTGTTTAACAAAGTTGTTTTAAATTTTTTTTTAAACGCGACGTCGTTTGTTTTTCCTTAGTAGCTTCTGGTTAATTACCAGTAGCACACTATCATTCTGTGAAATCTTGGATCATTCCTTACACAGTTTGACTGAATGCAATAGTGCCGTCACTTGAGATTTAAATATTTTATAATAGCCCATCAGGCGTGTATGTGTTGTTTAAACAATTTCAGGAAATGATTGAAAGTTCAAGTCATTTCATGAAATGATTAATTTCATAACATGCTTGTATCATAACAGATAACATTTTAAAACAGGGATTCGATCCCTGAGGAAAACACAGCGCAGGAAGCTCATTGTGCAGCTTTGCTCTGAAAACATTGAAGTCACAAAGTTCTAATGTTCGTTAGATTACTCACAACAAGGATTTCCTTTGAATAATGTTTGTAAATATTTTATTCTAACACGGAAGTTCGTATTTTGAAAATGACGTTCTCTCTTTATTATCACCACCTTGTGTCATGCGGTAATTTCGAAAGTGACTAGTAAGAGTTCCGCTATCAAGATATCAGTATCGCGTCCATTGATTATAACTGTGAAAGCTGTCATAATTTTCTAGGAACATGGTTCGGCCCATTTTTTTTCTATTCGCACTGTCTCGTGTCACTTCCCGTTCCGTGATGTGCCCCTTCCTGGCAGATGCTGCGTATACATTGTTATCTTTGTCTCTGGACTCAATCTTAAATACATCAACTAATTTGTGTCGGGTTATACTTGGGAGTTAAGAGATTTGCAGTGTGATTTATCATCATTATAACACTACTTTAAATGTAAAACATATGTGATCACATTATTATGTTGATTTTTATGTTTTATACAATCACGAGTAAATGGTGAATGAAATACGGCTACATTACAATTTACGGAAACTAGCTTAAATGAATTACATCTTCAGAAAACGGTACTCACATGAGATAAAAAGTAATGAAGTAAAATAATTTCCTTTTTTGTTATGCTTTCCAAATACTAAAATGATTATTCACTGTGGAATGTATTAATCATCCATCAAAAATCAGTAAATATAAAAAAGTATGGTTTCGGGCTTTCTAAAATGAAGGACTAGTAAAGAATATGTAGTAGATGGTGAAGTCATTATGTACAATCAGAAATTTGCTTCGCGCATAGCTCGCCTATACCTCAATTAGTAAGTTTCGTCTCATTGTTCTGTGACTTAAATGTATTTTGCAATTTACTTTAAAGTGACCTGAGCAATAGAACTGTAATTCTCATTTAGGATTCCGATATGGAAGATAAATCTTGATTTGTCTTCTTTTTTAGGATTTATTTTCTTTCACTTATTCATATCATTACTTCATCAATAAAATGATTCGGTGTTCAAGCCAAAGACATACACAAAGTGATTTTTTCAGATAAAACCAATACCAATATTTCAAAATAACAGTTTCAATGCTAAATAGTTTGCTTAACGTCTTTTACGAGATAATTATAATGTTTTAGAAAAAAAAGTACTTAAGGTTGCCACATTAATCTTTTTTTTTTTTTCACGAGAAAACTAACAGTCGAAATGTACATACAAATACAAACTACGATATTTTTGTGGTTGGAGTTTATGAATTTCCAAACATAAAAACATCTGAGAACCTGATTATGTAGCTAAAATTATATTATTGAATAATCTTCGAACACAAAAAAATCTTCATGTACTGAAGTGTCCCCAGCAATATTAATTTACATTGGTTGACATATTCTTCTTTAAACATTTTGGTTATACAAGATATAAAAACATTCACCAAATTCTGCGTTTTTATGTCAATTTTCGCCATTTATAAATACCTAAGCATAGGCATTACCTGTTACTTCCGAATATATGTTCTTCGCTGCAAAACCCAACAAAGTAAAAAATCTACAATAAAATCCGACACTTTTTTTTTTCAGTTATTAAAAAATTATTCCATAACTAGCTAGATAACCCGTCCCCTGGACGGAAGTTATGCAAATTTAGAATTAACGAAAAGTTAAAATCATAAATAATATTTAACGTTAAAATTGGTACACAATTAAAAACATTTTATTTAGGCCTTCAAAAAGTCGATGACGTTGCAACATCATCCTCAGGAGTGAATTACAAGACAATGCTAAAGTATTTATAACTTGTTGGTAAGTCATGTGACCTGTATGCTATTTTACATAAATTCATGCTAAACCATTCAAAGGAGATCAATCCACATTCTTGCAGAAATGTTCGCCATACTTTCACCTCTATTTAACACTACATGATCTTTTTTATGTTTCATTATTTCTAAGGATTCACGAATATTATTACCTATTATACTTTATGGTTGTGCTAATATTACAGTTTTTTCTCATAATATTGTGTCTTGTGTTTCCTGTACATGTTCTGCTATGGATGAATTTTCAGTTTTTTTATTTTTTACATATCCCTTATGCTCATTAAAGCGGTATTTTAAATTACGTTTTGTCTGACCAATGTAAATACTTCCACACTCACATTCTATTTTATATATTCCAGTTAAATGTATTTCGTCTTTCGTAGTACCTAACATTTGATTCATCTTATTTATCGGTTTAAATATAGGGTAGAATATCTGTTGTTTTTAAAACACTTTAAATAAACTAGTAGTTAAACCTGGAACATATGGTAAAATTAAGCTTTCCTTTCTATTTTTTTATAAATAGATTTTAAAGTACTAATTTGATCAATTATTATAGCATTAGTGAATTTCTTAACTGCCTTATCTATAATATTTGGGTTAAAACCTCTTTCGACTGCTATATATTTAATTAATAACAATTCGTTTTTTAAATCCTTTTGGTTAGTAGACATTTTTTGTGACTTAATATGACATGATTCCAAAAACTGAATTCTTAACAGATATACTATTAAAGGCACTGTATAAAGTTAGAAGATTATTTGGCTTGGTTTGAATTTTGCGCAAAGCTACACAAGGGCTATCTGTGCTAGCCACCCCTAATTTAGCAGTGCAAGACTAGAGGGAAGGCAGCTAGTCATCACCACCTACCACTAACTCTTGGGCTACTCTTTTACCAACGAATAGTGGGATTGACCATAATCTATAATGCCCCCATGGCTGAAAGGGCGAGCATGTTTGATGGGACAGGTATTTGAACCCGTAACCCTCAGATTACGGGTCAAACGCCCTAACCACCTGGCCAAAAAAAAGATTATTTCCATAAGTTAATTTTAAGAAAAATGAGTATGGTATAACAATAACAATGATAATATTTCATTACAAGGTAGCTTAGTAATATTACAAGAGAACTAAAAGGTTACAATTTTCTGCAAGATTTAATGTTCTCCACATTCACTTCCAGATTAAATGGGTTCAGGGTACAACAGTCAACTTAGGCTTGCTTCAAGTGAGACACTAATTAAACTTGAAAGTTTTGTAAAGTTAGTTATTTTACTGTACCTTAGGAAACACAGGAAAGATCAATGAATTTGATGTGAATAATGAGTCACTGAAGAGAAACAACTTTCTAGGTTGAATACTGAACGATTTTATTAAAGATCAATGACCCAAAATCTATATACAACATAACTTGATGAATTGAATGAAGAAAAAAATACATTTACAACAAAACTTACTTCTAAAAGACAACTTAAAAGGTATACAGGCATAATAGGCAATTAAGGTGAAACTGTATTTTGGAAGGTAAGGCATTGTGAAGGATAATACTTTCTCTATTGGTCAAGTATAAAAACTAACAACTCTCAACTACAGTACCACCACACAAACATACCAAGATGAAATATCTGCAATTTATGTTCTTGGCCTTTTTTACACTACATTGTACAAAACCCATGCTGTGTACAGCCATTTATGCACATCTTTTACCATGTGCAAGACTTGTCCCAAAACTTCTGATGTTAGCTATAAAAACCAAAAACTATAATTGGAAAGGAAGAATAATGTTTTATTCTGGATATTTTATGTTGACTTACATTTTTTATAGACAAACACCAAGTGGATAAAAGTACAAATTACACAAATCTCAGAGTAAACCCTACACCAATTTAAACAAATAAAGAATAAATGAACTCTCATTTCTCTCATTCTTTCCTTAACAAGAGGCTTCATATTTCCAAATGAATGGTTTTATGCATGATTTAATGAGGACAGTGCAAATAAACAATGTCAAATCTCTAAATAGCACTAAGACTCAAGTACACACACATACATATAAATTATTAGTATAAAGACTCCTCATGTGCAAAATTTTTGTAGTAAGTTGTATGTTAATATTAAAAAGAAAACATAAAAACCAATGGGTGTAAAAATATTTAGTAAAAACTCAATGTGATTATGACAGTTAAAACTTCATCTCTCATAACTGTATAAAAATACCAGTGAAGGCACAAAAATGCTATTTAAAATGGTATGAACACAGTTACACAAGACCTGGTACTGTTGGTGGATACACAGTAAAGACATACAATTGTACAATCAATGGGAAATGGATACATATGAAAATGCAATGAATATAAACAGAACTAATCCTAACATGCAAAATTACACCATTACAAAGGTCTAAAACAAACCATGATTATATGTATAAACTATCATGGTTCAGACTTCTGAGGAGTCATCTACTGTTTACTCCCACCTTGAACTGACTTTCTGTAAAAAAAGAATAAACCTATTATTCTTGCTGTTGCAATACTCATACAAATTTTCTACCACTGTTATGTGTTGTCATGATATAAAAATTTAACACGAATAAACACTGACTATAAAAAAAAGATATTGGTTATAAATACTTTGTACCTTTTTTATAAAAACCATATTCATCATGTATTAACCGGAAGACACATAAGACACATGCGAGTGAATCAAAATGTTGTTTAATCACCAATTCCAAATACAAGTTCTCCATTTCTCTGCCTGCTATGTCAATTAAACTTCATTTTATAATACAAGCAGGTTTATTTTTTGTACATGTGATAGCTCAGCCTATGGATAATATTTGACTTGATAAAAGACAAGATTATTGAAAGTTAATATAACTATGTTCAACCATTCTAATTTGTTCAAACCATAATTAATTTCTCTCTCTCATGATTTTCACACATTTAACATGGCCATTTATACCTTAAGTAAGGAACTTACCTAAGTTCACAGATTGATTATGAAGTTGATAAATGAGTATTGCTTGAATGCTTACAACAATGATTAAGGTAATATGATATTATTCAAAGATATATCAAATAGAATGGTTTGTTCTTATGTTGCCAAATAGTTCACCAGATCACTTCTAGAATACATGCTGTTCAGGTTTATGATTATATCAACCAGTGAAAAATAAAACATACAATCCCTTAATTATTAACTCCAAAAAAAAATTTCAATAACTTTAAAATGGATATTACATTCTATAAAATGGTCTATTATTTTTGAGAAGTTATTAAAAGGAATTAACTTAAAAAATTTTAATTTGTTAGTCAAATACTTTTTGGAAACATTTTGCCTTAATTATGAATTTGTCTAATAAAATAATTACAAACTAAAAACAATGAAATAAAAATTGTTATAATAAAATAATAACTTTAAAAAATTCTCAGTTCTTGAATATTATAGAGCAAAATGAGAAATCTGTTTAAATAGTTTTCCATTATTCTTCCCTAATTTGAAATATCAATTTATTACTTCTCTTTTGGGGTGAAAAAAAGAAAAAAAGAAGAAATATTAATTTAAATATGAATTACCATGGATGAGAAGATCTTGTTTTAATTAAATTAATTAATTAATGTAACAGTACAAACAGTTTTGTGCAATATACCAACTAAAATAATTATAATAGATTTAGCTTCCACACTTACATATGTCTTTCTAAAAGCATGTATGCATTCAAAATCTGCTAAAAAGACTTCAAAAAAATATTAAACAGCTCCTGTACATCCACTTCAATGAGTCATAGAGTTAAATACCTCATTTTATACAGGTATTCTTTCTCATAATTAGACTATGTTGAAAATCTAGGGCCACCAACTTTAAACTCTAAGCTCCAAAAAATGCCTAATTATAATGTTTTAGGGAAATAGTAACAAAACTATTTAACCGAGGCAAAGCATCTACACACACTGAAGGAACTTTATATGTAGTTTGTTTGTTTGTTTGAAGTTAAGCACAAAGCTACAGAAT